AAAAAAAAAAAAAAAAAAAAAAAAAAAGGTACAACAACCATTTTGAGGAGCTTGAATTGAATTGAAAGAGTACTAGTTATTTCGGCTGCAACAACCCACATCAAGTGCCATTTATTCAGATGCCGCCAATGCGGGAATCGTGTCAAATTATAATTATCACAAAAGTCTCATATGCATTATTAAACAATAAAATAATGCAAAACATTTCCCACAATGTCATAAAGGGATACATAGAAAACCCATTCGCATCTACTTCCTCTATAGGAGGGTTCATGACAAATTTTTTTAAAACAATGTTATAATTGCAAAATATATTAAACATATCAAGTTAAATAATACTCCGGCTCTCCATATAAATAACAACACATATTTATATTTATTCATTGTATTAATCTCTAAAATGTTTCTTCATTTAATTGATTTTGTATTTTTAATTTTTTTTATTCTTAATATCATGTTTTAAGAAAGAGTACTTTAAGAAATGAAGTTATTTTTAAAATAAGATTAATACAATTAAATGATTTTAGTTAACTTTCTTAATCAACATGCAATATTTTGTTGGTGTATAAATTAAGAATTGGAGAAAGTATAATAAGTGAAATGTTAACTAAAGATAAATTGAACTTACATTATATGTTTTTTATTTATTTATCAGAATTAAAGTTTTATAATATGCGTAAATGTATATTATCAAATATTATCATAGTAAAGTTTTAAGTTTAATTGAAAAATAACATCATCATACTTTAATATTTTATTTAAATTTTGTCCGAACTTATACCCACCCTATTTTAAAACATTGGGTCTTTTAAACTTTGGTGAGAATGCCGATAACTTGATTATGAATTGAAATTGTTACAAATAAAGTGTAAAACCCCAATTTTTATGTGTAGACTAATTGAATTATTTTTTGCTCGTGTCTCAATTTTTAGCTGTTATTAAGAATTGGACAACATTCCTAACCTACAGCATAAGCTTGGATTACTTTTTGCAAGGGAACAATATCGATTTGTGTACCAATTAAGCGTATCAGTATTAATTAATTATGTTTAGACCATTCAGAAAAGAAAAAAAATTGTTAAGGGTTATGGACACTAGTGCAAGTTTGATATTTTTTGATAAATTTTTTATTCAGTTGAATGCACATTATTTTAGGAACATGACCAGTGATAAGTGAAAGTTAGAATAGAACCAAGTAAAACCACCATGAAAATTACTAAAATATCCTCCTACACCTAGAATAAGCACTTAAGCCAGAATCTTCGTATCATGTGCCTCAAGGAAACTTACACAAGCCATGACACCTTCTGAATGAACATAGCTATTTGTAGCTAATTTTTGAATTCTCATCTCTCTCACTCACATGACATGACTCTCCCATTAGTAGAGATTTTGCCCTTTTTTTATTATTTATTATTATTAAAATTTCTATTTTGTTTTAATTTGAAAAGTCATAAAAAAAAAACCAGGCATAAATTTATTAGTCAAGTCTTTTCCCCATTTTCAACTCATCCTTCTCTCTCCCAAATCCCTCTAAATTTAGCTAGTTAAACCATACATCTATGTTTCTCTCACGCTTAAAAGCTCAAGGTAGAATTTTATTTTATTTTTTAATCTTCATTTATAACCCCATCGCTATCAAAATTTTCCTCCTCTTCCATATTTGGTTTCCCTAAAAGCTTTTGTTTTTAACCTTCTATGTTAAGGTTCTTGGTATTCTAGGCAAAAGTTGAGAAAGAGGCAAATAGTGTGTATGTGGAGAGGTGGAAAAGTTTCTCCCTACCTTATTTGAGTGTTTTGGGTAATGTATTGTTTGAGATTGCGTTGAATCTCATTTTTCTACACTAAACACTTTCACTTGTTTTGTTTGCAAGATTGTTCTTAACTATACGATCTTTAAAACTCTATCACAAGTTTGGTAAAATATTATTCAATATTTTCTGACTTTAGGGAGGTTTTTCATAAAATTGTATGTGTACTGTGCTAAAACAATTGCATATTTGAAAAATGGACATTTCAAGCTTTCTTTCAAGCTGTCTTTTCTTGTCGTCTAGTTAAAAGAAACAAAAACTAATAAACAATTTTTACTGTATTGTTAAGATGAACTCTATTGTTAGAATTATAAGAAGAAAAAACATCCTTCACCCCTAATTAAAAAATAACTGTGAAATTTATTACTAAAATAAATAAATAAGTGTTGAAATTACATCATTCTTTCTTGTTTCATGAAATATATCCAACTTTTTTCTCTTTTAACTCTACCCAGATACTATTTTTTTAAAAAAAAATTATTTTTCATTACTAGAATTATTAAGTGATCCAGAATTATTAAAACTATTAAATATTTATAGTCTCAACCAATCACTATATAATATGTGTTCCTGCGTAGAAACACTCCTCTTGTTGTTCTTCCTTCTTGGTCTTCTAAGTCTTAGGTGCCGACCGAATACTGTCTCCGAGGGGTGGGGGAGGGTACCTGCAAAGGCACTCCGACGATCAAGTAAGTATTCGGTTCAGAGCAATAAATGCTTTATATTGGATAATAACGTATCTCATTTATGTCCCATCACCTGTGTATTTATAGTGACATGAGTGGGCCTGGTGGGCCTTTTATTTTGGGAGATGGGTAACATTTTAATTAACCTTAATCTTCTCTTAATCAGGCATGGTAGTTATTGCATAATGGGTATGTAATTTGCCACGTGTTTTATGTGGGTTCTCCTTGCCTTAAGTCTTTGGTCAAGCCTAAGGCCGACGAGGTATTCGGCCTGGTCTAGGCCCGAAGGGGTATTCGGCCTGATTTGGGGTCGAGGGGATGTTCGGCCTGGCCTGGAACCGAGGGAGTATCCGGCTAGGTCTAGGACCGAGAAGGTATCCGATTAGGTCTAGGATCGAGAGGGTACATGGCTAGGTCTAGGGTCGAAGTGGGTATTCGGCTTGGTCAGGAACTGAGAGGGTATTCGGCTAGGTCTAGGACCAAAGTGGATATTCGGCTAGGTCTAGGACCGAAGTGGGTATTCGGTTTGGTCTAGGGCCGAAGGGGTCTCTTTCGGTTTTGGTGTGTTCGACCTTTGACCGGGTCAAAGGTGGGTGCCAACTGGTACAATATGTATTTAAGTTTTTCAATTTACAATTTTTTTGATAAAATTTGATTATATGTCATGTAAAAATTAGTTCAAGATCATATAATTCAAGACTCCTAATAATTTTTCCTCAATTGCCTTATAATTCCCTTGTTTTTAAAATGACTTCGAAGTTAAGAAGTTAGCATTCCTTAGCATGAATCAACCTGCAAGTGGTGCAACCTGTATCAAGCAAGGTTGAAATACTCAGCCACACCACATGTTTGGAGCCGCGTCAGGACATGAAAAACGCAAATTATACGCCAATATCAGTAGATTTTTGTGTTTAAATGGATGGAGGATGCGGTTTCAAACACACGACATGCCAAACCCAATCTCTCTTTATTTCTTTCGACACAGGCCACATATTTTGATGGATTATTTGGACAAACTTACCAAAAGTCCACCACTACCAAAATTCAAAGTTTGACATACTATTTCAGTAGAGTTAGATGCTACGTTCATTCTTGTCCATTTTGTGTAGAGAGATGGAAGGTGCGCTGAAATTGGTTACTCCCTCTAATCAAGTATGTCAAAAATATTTACATATCGCTCAAGATTCTAAGAGCAGAATCTTTATGAATGAAATTGCTAATAAGCAAGCCTCCTACGAAATTATGCCCATAATGACTGTAGGTAGTAATTTGGCTGCATCTATTTCCTCTTATCTATCGTATTTGAATGTTATTGTGAGCTTCTATCTGGCTGACAGGAAGCTCATGCAGATGGGGGGACGAATTTTTAACAAAGCTAGAATGGATGAAGGGAGAATCCATAATCCATCTCCGCAAATCAAACCAGAAGCAACTGCAGGAACCATCAAACGTGCCTCATTTGTGTTTAGTGTGTGCCAAATGAAAACAACCAAACTCCCCATGCACATGTCAATGGCAAAGTAACCACCAACTAGGAAAGGGACAGCCATTGCCATTGGGAGTGGAATCCATTTCCCAACCTTTTGGGGGGCAAGATCTCTGACCAAGTTGGCTGCTATGGCAAATGCAAAGAATCCATAACAAAGCTGCAAGCAATGTTGGGGGAGGGCAGAGAAGCCTTCCACACCAAGAATTGCCATGTTTCTATATATGATGGCATATGGAGCCTTGTAATCCCCATTTGGATTCCCAACATCAAAGGCCTTGTAGAAAAGGAAGAACGTGAGAGGAGCCACTACACAACCTATTGCTGTCCCAATGGCTTGGCTTATAAGAATTGAACGTGGGGAAGTGAAAGTTAGATGGCCAGTCTTGAAATCATGCATCAAATCAGATGAAATGGAAACAATGGATTTAATCAGGCCACACCCCACGAGTCCAGCAACTACACCATCACTTTTTCCAGCCAAGGCTGCAAGCACAAAGAGAGCCACTTTCCCATAGTTATAGGCCATGTTCATGTCGGTTAAGCCTGCACCATAAGCATTGCAGAAACCGAGAGATGGTGCGAAAAGATAGGCAAACACCACGTAATACCACTTTAACTGGTGGAACATCAGAGGGATTACAATGATGGATATGATAGAGAATAATATGTAGCCAGCACTTGCCAACCATATAGGAATGCTTTCTCTTGCAAACACTTCATTCCGTCTAAGATCATCAAGAGGGAGTGGTTTCTGGTTATCTGAAACTGCAGTGACCAAAAAATTATTAGATTTTTCAGACAAATTGTTAGAAAGCTAGCACTACTGGTACAACTATGCTACCAGAATCTACCATTACAGAAAAAGCTGAGAAATATTAAAGAAATGTCTTTTTCCAATCATCATCCATGCCAAAAACAAAATCTTATACTACATAGAGGTATACAAGGAATAATAAATACACAAGTGACACCATCCTAATTTAGGGAAACAAAAAGTAAAATAACATTAAAAGATAAACCAATATCCTAATATTTAAGACTATTCTATAAAATCTTTAAGTCACTTAATTTTCTTTTCTTTAAGGCTCTTTAGGCCCATCTTATCACAAACAGGAGTCTCAGTGATATTATAAACAACTCCATATTAGAATATTTTTATGGTCGGGCAATAAAAAATGCGGCTTTATACCAAACATGAAAGCCTATATATTACATGCATAGACACAGGACAAAGGTAAATATTTGTTCATTCAGTTACATACTGTTGATTTCGTTTCTATTTTTTCTTTTGTTAGTGGTCTGTTGAGACGATGATGGCAATTTTTATTTCATAGGAGAAAGAAAGCTGTGATTGGTAAGACTATGTTGAGGACTTGAATGACATCCACATGAATAGGAAAATTTACATGAAGCTATTTACTTACATTTATTAATGTTCTTCTTTTTCACGGTGGCGTGGATATTCGTGGCAGTGAAATAGAGGACTTTGACGAAATTGTAAAGCCCGTCGCCAAGAATCAATGCAATGGAAATAAAAACCTGCAGCAAGAAAAAAGAAAAACTCAAGGCTTGAAATGGAACGAACTAAAATAAATAATATAACCTTGATAGAATCCTTTAATTCTAGCCAAATTTAGACCTTATAGCCATTAAGACTTTTCATGCTACTTTCTGGTATACTTGCGGGAAACCATTCTCCTTTTAGTCCCCTGATTAAGGGCCACATAATACCCCATGAAATGACAGCACCAAGAGTCAGAAATTTCTGACATAAATATCTGTCAAAAATTTTTCATCGAAAATTTACGTTTTTCTTGTAGTGATTTTTATCCAAATTTTCTATTTACCTAGCAAGCCCAAAAAGGTTCTATGTTTTCGGTTCGGTAGGATCTAGCCACTTAGACTACTCATCCTATTTTGTAAGAGATCTCTGAATTGAAATGTGTGACGATGCATATGTGTTGATGAGTTGTATGTAATGATATGTTTTGAAGTTGTTGTAAAGTTGTGTTTTGTCTATGTGTTGTGTGTTGTAAACCATTGGACTATAACAATAACATCCGGCTCCACCTCATTATCAGATGGTTCACAACCATCAATTTCATCTTCATTGGATTCATCAATGCTTTCACATGATAATGAAACATGATAGTCTTCATCTGCTTCGTCATCTTCATCTTCGTCTCTTGTGATCAAAGGTGATCGTTCAATTGACAAATTTTCTAATGAAAAAGTTGAAGATTCTTGCATACCTATTTCAGCATATAATTTCATTATTGGCATCACATTCTGGCTCTGAAATGCTTCTATCATGCATTGTACATCATCATCATCACTCAATTCCAATGAAGAATATATGTTGTTATCATCTTGTGAAACTAAATATATGTAACTTACAGATAATATCACTTGATTTGACTTAAGACCAAATTTTGTTGTGAATCCTTCTCTTTAATATATCCAAAGTTATACCTCGTTTAATATACATTCCTTTTCTTGGTCCATCAAATGTTACACCTTCAGAACCTTCGTACATCTTTCCAATGTAAATATAAGCAATAATTTGATCCATAATATCTGCAAAAAAAAACAAAATAATTAGTACAAATAGCTACAATTTATATTTTAACAACAATAAAATTTTACTTACAAATTTCAATCAGAGCAAAACGTAACTGGTAGGAGGGGTATATATATGATTTGAAATGATGATTTAAAATGTGCACAAAACGTAAGTGGGGCGAGGGGTATATATACTGTAACAGTCGCTATGGGTCATAACGACATCCTTTTTTTAAAATTTTCTAATATCAATTTTATACTTATTTCTGTGTATATATTTTTTTTCAATTAATTCAAATAAATCTTCAAAACATGAAAATATATTAAATATGAAACAGTGAAAAAATAATTAATGAAATATATATTATAATTAATTTATATAATATAAGTAAATAATTTTTATAAAAAAAAAAAGATAAAATAAGGTCGTTATAGCCTATAGCGACATTGTGTCGCTATAGGCCATAGCGCCACTCTCTTAACTATTTAATACATAAAAAGAAAAAAAATTAACTGAACCATAAATATATAAAAAAATTTATATTAAACAAATATATAAATAAACAAATTACAGAAAAATAAAATAAAATGTAAATATTTATAAAATCAAAATAAAACAAAAATGGTGTTGCTGCCCATAGCGACACTAGTTTTTATTTTTTTTCTTTTTTTTAATTACGTATTTTTGGCCCAGTTTTTTTAATGAAAAAAAAAAAAAAAAAAAAAAAAAAAAAAAATTAAAAAAGTACCCACCTCCAACCGCGATGCTGTAGCAAGCAACGGCACAAGTCTGGATTATGGTATTCTCCTGTTTAGTAAATGGGGTTGAAACAATTTTGGCCTTCGCAAGAACCGTAGTCCAAGCTCGAATGAACACAAAGCCAAGGAGAGCAACTGAGACATTGAGATTGGGGACTAACCCAGTTGTGAGGTTGAGCTTCATCACAATCACACTATAGATTATTCCAATCAGAAGACTAGCCACTAGTCCCCGAATCGTAATCTGCCTTGCCCATGGTGCTATTCTGCTCACATCCTCAGTCACTACCGGAGCCTCTTCAATGTCCTCTCTGCTCAGATTCTCAATCTCTCTCAGTTCCTCGCTGCTTATAGCACTAGTACCCATTGGATTCATCAAATCCTCGACCCTGGGTGAATGATCAATCATCAAGAAAAACAAAATAAGGCAAGAGGCAGAAGAAAAATAATATTCAATGATGAAATTCTGTCTGCTCCTGCACTTGGATATCTATTTAAAAAATATCCCAAGTTACGAACAATATATATATATAAAATAAAAAAAACAATTTTATTACAGGATCGTAATTATAACTGTAATTAAAATAGTAGAATCCAATCATGTAATAAAGAAAGAAATTATTAAAAAAAAATTTAAAAAAATGTAAACAAATGGACGGTTTGTATTGTATTGGAAAAATAGAGAGGAAAAAGAATCGGAATTGGATTCTAGGATGGGAATGTTGTGAGATTTTAAGATGAAATTGCGTGAAATATGTTACCTTACCTCCTATCCGTTTGGAATTTGGACGATGGAGTGAGAAAAAGGAGATGTAAAAGAGATTCTGATATCGAAACGAAGGGAGGAGGAATGATTGCAAAGAGTGGCAGCAGAAGGCGGAATTTATATTTAGCATTGGAACCAAACGGCCCCTTGCATGTAGTACAACGTGTGCTGTTTGTACTACAAATGATGTTTTAGGAAACGCAATGAAGTTGTACTAAACATGACAAACTTGTGAATGAAAAAGTCTTGACAATGCAACACGGGAAGGGGAGTGTTTGGTTAGACAAAATAGTTGGCGTTGACTCAGATAGATAGTGGGAGCCGTTGAAAGTGGGTGGCGGGTCTCGGTTTCACTTGTGTGTGTGTGTTGGCGTGTGGCCTAAACCTGTGAGAAGAGTGAGGGAGACACACTCCTTCAAACCTCAATCAAACTTGGAATATAATACAGTGTGTCTTACACTTATAGAACTATTAAATTTTGTGATACCTCGTATAATTATTATATAATTTAAATTTGTGCTACCTTACCTTTGTTAGATAAGGAAATGGAAATGCAAAAAAATACATTTTTTTTATATTATTTGTTAGTGTCAATTTAGTCTCACTTTAATTAATTAAATTAATTTAGTTTCATATTTACAAAATATATCTCAATGTTTGACTTTCTATTTTTTCGTTTAAATACTTAACAAATATGACACGTGTCATGTCACGTGCATGCCACGTGACATGACATCATGACATGTAACATAATGCATGACATGATATGTGGCATGATAACATGACACGTGACATGGTAGCATGACAAAATAAATGTAACATGATACATGTCAGATTTGTTAAGTATTTAAATAGAGAAAACGAAAGGTTAAACATTGAGATACATTTCAAAGATGTGAAACTAAATTAATTTAATTAATTAAAATAAAATTAAATTGATACTAATAAATAATATAAAAAATAAAAAATATATTTTTACCAAATAAAAATGGAGTCCAGGTGAGGGTGCAACCATGTTCAAAAACAGATAGTGACTTTTACATTCTCGATTCACTCACGGGCCACTCTATTTTTTCACCCTAACTTTTTTGCCCAACATTCCCATAGACAACAGTGCAAGCAACGTGCACGCAACTAGTCACATTATTATTATTATTATTTATATTATTTATTAATAGTTCTTAATATTTTAAAGGTTTTATTATAAAAATTAAAATTAACTAATGTATTAGTTATATTTACAATTAATTTCATCGAGTTTTAATTAACACCAATCAAAAAGTATCCAAAACAATGTAGGCAATAGAAGATAAGCGTAATGCAGGCTTAGCCTATATTTAGAAAGGCATTTGTGGAAAGTGGAAACTCAGAAACTGGAAAGCAAATTCAGTTTTTCTTTTTTTAATTTTTTTAAACTTAAGATTAATGCTTAGTTGTTTCAAACTAAACGCTTTTTCTACAAAAAGAAAAAACTCAGTTATATTAAGTTTTTTTTTTTTTACCATGATTTTTCTCCCATAATTGGTAAACAATTAACATAAACCCTAAATAATTATAATAATTTTAATGTAAACGTTTTTTTTAGATAAAGAATTTCAAGTATAGATCACTTTATTTAAAAACCAGAATCATTTAAAATCAAAATTATAAAATACTTACCCAAATAAACACTAAAAAGAGGGAAAACAAAATAGAGTGATTTGTTATATATTCAGTAGTCTTATAAATTATTAAATTAAAACATAAAGCATGTGATAATTTTATATACTAATAATTTCAACCATGCTTAATAGGTAGTGATGGTGAAAATTCATTTTTGAAAACTAATATAAAGTAGAAAGAAGATAATATTCTTACAATGACTTTAATCAATCAATCAAGTTTTTTATTAAATGATATCTGTGGTCTACCCAAAAAAAAAATGAAAAATAAATCTAGCATTATCTATACATACTGCACACTGTAGTTTGGTTTTTATAAATTTTAAAATCAATCACTCTCTTCCAGTATAAAAAACTCATTCTCACTAATTTCATAATTTGTATAATTACCTATTCTAAAATTTCAATATTTCTCATTCTGTATCCACAAGGATTTTCTTTTTCCAAAAACATTATTCTTTAAAAACAATTATATAGAACCAGAAATTGTTTAAATCCATTTATAGAAGAATGTGCGAGAATATTACTAGTATTTATCAACTAAAAATTGTTGAATGGAAACAACTCATTAATGAGACGGTGTGTTGTATAAGTGTAGGTGATTCGTCAGTGAGTGGTCCTAATTTGATTCACTTTGCTTCACTCATATGAATATCTATCTCTATCGTCCACCGATGGGTATAGATTATAGCGACCTAGTCTCTTTGTTTTTTCTTTTTAGCTTTGTCTTGCTTTGGTTCGGTTGTGTTCTTTGAAGATGATAGTTTTAATATTTTACTAATTATTTATTATTATGAATGGCATGCAGCCACAACAGAACCCACAAAACAAAGATGCAGTGCAAGTGTTGCTGATTGATTCACCAATACGATGATATTAATTATTCTCCGGTTTACTGTGTTTGGGTCCAATTCCAACGTATTTTCACTGCTCATTTTTTGTTCCTACTTTTTTTTTTCTATCTGTGTGATTAATTTAAAAAAAATGTTAAAATAAGTTGGATTAATCATGAAAAAATATATTTTTATTAAATATTTTTTGTATTTTTAATATATATTTGTAAAATGAAAATATATCTACCAAATTAAGAATTGATCCCAAACTGGGCCCAAGAGCCCAAGAACACTGAAGTGTCGCGAAATTGCAAACCCAACATAGGGGGGCAATTGACGGCCCATAGAAGAGGGAGAAGGGCGAAGCCGAAGGTGTAAAGCTGGTCCCACAGGCCCAATGGGCCATCAATCGTTAGCCACCACCTCCATCTTTCTAGCTCACTCTGGAACGCTTCTTCTGTTACTCACAGCCTCCGCGTAAAAGTTAAATTCGATGAATATATACCCAAATTTCAAAAACCCAACCACACTTTTCAAACATGGATGATACCATACTTACCTCTGCTAAATCTTCTACGCCCTCGCTCAACTCTACTCGGATAATCTGCCACGTGTATGTTCTTCTGCAACTTATTCTAGGGTTTTCCTTTGCATTTATGTTTTTTTTTAGAGATCAAAGTGGCCCTTAATTCCTTGTTTATACCATGACAGATGTCAGAAGCAGTTTTCCCAGTACACATGTCCTCGATGCAATTCGCGATACTGTTCCCTCCAATGTTACAAAGTAAGTATAGTAGTTGCCTGTAAATTGATTTGAGCTGGTTCATTAGAGTTTGATTCATGTTTTGCATAAGCTTTGTTTGCGACCTTGCTCTATTTATTTACCAACTTTGGATATCCCTTCATGTTATGAGTTATGAGACGCAATAGCTAAATGATATATATGGTACAAATGTTTTTGAATTTTGAGTGGACTATTTCCTGAATGCAGGAGTATGCTTATTCCAGTTTAACCATTTGTGAATTTCTCTTGATACTTTTGAGGCTTATAATCATTACGGAGATTCAGAGGATAATGTTTTGTTTTGCCAATTGGTTATGTTTTTTATTGGATTTGTATGTTCTTGCAAAGTGACTGTCGCTCATATGCTTTTCTTGTATACACTGTATCTTGATTCTTGTTTGTTATAAACTGCTGTGAATTTGATCGTTTTTGTTGTAATTTTGACAGTCTCATAGTCTTCGTTGCACTGAATCCTTCATGAAAGAAAATGTAGTTCAGGAACTGCAGCAAATGCAGCCTGATGAACAAGCCAAAAATAAGATGTTGGACATACTGAAAAGATTTCATTCAGAAGAGGAAATGGACGAGGATTGTAAGTCATCTATATTTTCCTTTGCTTTCAGATGTTCCAGAGTTGATTTGTTCATTTTGTTGCAATTTTTGTTGTTTAATATCTATCATTGCATCAAAGCATGCTCTAGTTTTCGTATCTTTTCTTAAGTGTGTATATATATATGTACTTGTAGACTTGTAGTCATGAAAAAAACAGTAACCTAGAGTTATTTGAATATAGGTAGGGTTGGCCTCAACCAAATTTCAGTTCAACATTTGACTAAACATTCTAATTTGTCCTTGAAAGACTGCATCTGTTGTGTTTGTCCCTGAGGCTGAGAAAAAGAGTCCCTCTTGAAGTGCATAAGAGATGCTAGGCAGTAAGATTGCTATATTTGACTCAATGGACATAGATGTTTTTTCTTAGATGGGTGATGGTTGGAAAGTGATAACTGCAATGAATTATTGTAATTTTCATCACCAGGTTGGGATACCGTTTGCTTTTTTTTTTTTTTTTCCTTCTAAAATACAATAAACAGTTTTTTTTGGAAAAGAATACCCAATAGTATGAAAAGAATCTTCAATAATCTGCCTCTTTCTTTTGTAGAAGATAGCATGAGAATTGAGAAAATTGACTAGGAAAATAAGGAAACAGGATGATGCCAATCTATTCTCCCTTCCATACCAAAGACACCTGCTAATGCTATGTAACCAGAACACTGAAAAAGGAAACAAACAAACACATGCAAAATTTATAGTCTATGAAGCATCGAGTTAATAGTATTCTATAACTACTGGAGCTCATGGCTAGTCATTTAATAAATCTGATTGTGAATAATTTATCACATCAGAAGTGCACCCTTATTATTTTGTATTGATTGCTTTAGAATATTTCTTGATATTGTAGTTAATAATTCGTGAGCTATCCAAAATATTGCTAGAGGAGGGGAGCTAAACTATTATCCTTATTTCCTTAGCTTCTGCAGATTCAACTTTATCCGAGGAGACAATGGAAAAATTTTTGTCTGGTATGTTCCTATTTAATGCTTATTATTTATTGCATGTTGCTCTGCTTGTACCAGCAAAACTGGTTTATGTCCATCTCATCATTGGGTAAGGCTGATTTGATTTTCATTTTACAGGACAAGAAATCAGCTTTGATGATTTATCTATTGAAGAGAAGAAACAATTTCATAGAGCAATTGCTTATGGGGAATTGACCAAGATGATCAAACCATGGGATCCATGGTGGTCAAAGCCTTCTGCCAGAAAAATCCGTCTCAGTAAAGAAGGAACTCAACTTGTTCAACCTCTTCAAGAGCAAGAATCGCAAGATGGTACCGAAACTGATGAATTCAGTGAAGTTCCTCTTGGACCTGAAGCCCCACTTCCTCCTCTTAGCAGGCTTAGTTCCAAGGAGCCATCACCCCTTTTAACAGTTCACCTAGTTGATATTCTATATAGCTACTGTTTCACTCTTCGCCTCTACAATGGAGACTGGAGGTCAGATGCTCTAGGGTCAGTCATGATTGTATTGAGCGTGTCCTCGGTGTTGGGTCAAGGTGCACAGCCTGAGACGGTACTAGAAGCCCTTTCTCACTGCTTGGAGCAGGTATGCTGTCCAGCTTACAGACACATGGGAGGATTGCAATTTGGTTTGGGTGTCATTGATGATGTGATCAGTCTGCTTGGTTTGGGAACTCCTGCTTTGGTATGTGCCCTTTGTGATATGCATCGGTTAATTCAAGAAGGAGAAAAGGAGGCCAAATCCGAAAGGTCAAGAAAGTCACGGAGGGGTGGGATTAGAAGTACTATTAAGCCAGCAGAAAGGAAGATATATTTCATCATGTGTTGGGTTCATGAGCAGCCAGATGAAGCCTGGTCTTCTTTAGCAGCCATTGTTGGAGTAGAAAAGACATCGGCCATGGAATTTCAAAGGAGCAATAAAGCTGAAAAAATGAACAAGGCAGAGGGCAAAGGCAAAAGTTTAATTGAGGAGATTTAATGATTTATGTAGACTACTGCCCCTTACTGTTGACCATATTTATTTATCTTAAAATATTTGCTGACCAAAAATGATTGTTCTCAAAGCTGTTGTAAATATACTTTTACATATAGAAATCCTTATTGAAGGGATATTCAATCTGGGTAGTAGACCTGAGAAAATATTAGACTAGGAGGGGTCCTGAGAAAGTTAAGTTCAAACTAGTTGAATTGATAATCTATTTACATTTAATGAAATTTCATAACGTAATTATTTACATATTGCTGATTTATAATTTGATTGAATTGGTTTGATAGTTAATTCATATATGATTTAAAATCAACTTTCTTTTACTAGAGGTTAAATGGTTAAATGAACTGATATTGATAACATTCAGAGGAGTCGAAACTTTGGGGATAATTTTCTCTATTTTTTTTTAATAAAGTCTAGCTATATATTATGAGATTCTTTATTTGAAATGTGGTTTTCTTCCTGTTGAATATCAGGATGTGGTTGTAGTAACTCAATTTCGTCCGGGAAATGTCAATTTTGTTAAAAAAAATAGCAAAAAAAGTATATACAAGAAAGAATAAAAAAGACAAAAATATGGAAGCCAATTGTAACGCCTCATTTTTTTATATTTTTATGGGGGGTAATTTAGTAATTTTCATATGATTTCAGAAGTCCAGAACGGGCCGTTCCAACCTTTCAAAAAGACAAAATTTCAAGCCCAGAACGGGCCGTTCCAAAACTGGAACGGGCCGTTCCAACATTCCAAAAAGCCCTAAAATTTCTAGCCCAGAACGGCCGTTTCAAAATAGGAACGGGCCGTTCCAACTTTCCAAAAAATCTTAAAATATCTAACCCAGAACGGGCCGTTCCAAAACTAGAATGGGTCGTTCCAACCTTACAAAAAGCCCTGAAATTTCTAGTCCGGAATGGGCTGTTCCAAAATTGGAACGGGCCGTTCCAACCATACAAAAAGACTTATATATTCTAGCCTAGAACGGGTTGTTCCCAGAAACTGGAACTTATAATTGATACACATTTGTTGCATCTCATTATCAAAACCTACTTGTCTTATTTGTCTCAAAATCTATTTGTTGCTTCCTATTTTCTCTAAAGTAGACACTTTAGTTTTCCACAAAATGGATTTCGACAAAGACTTTGATGCTTTGTTTGAGCAAGTTATAGATGAGGAACTTGAAGATAACACCGACGAATATTTAATGAGAATAGCACTTGAGATGCAACAACAATCTGACAACACTACTCGTCGAAGGAAAAAAAGATTGATGATTGATCGATGTCGTGAAGAAGGGCACAATCGATTGTTCAATGATTACTTCTCTGAGAATTCAATTTACACATATGCTCAATTTCGACGAAGATTTCGAATGCAAAGGCATGTGTCCCTTAGAATTGTAGAAGCCCTTGGTCATTATGATGATTATTTCCAGATGAGGGTTGATTCCTGTTAAAGGTGGAAGCCCACTTGGAACTTCTTGAGGAAATAAATCATCAAATTCCTTTAAAAGTTTTTGAACCTCATGAGGTAGAAACTCAAGTTCATGGCTAGTGGCAGCTAGTGTCTCTTTGAAGTAGAGAAGGTATAAATGTTGCCCACACAAAAGAGTTTGCTTGATATCATTCTTAAGTGACAAATGACTTTTGTGCACAAGTTCCTTAGAGGGGACACTAGCCTCTAAGCTTGATACCTTCTCCTCCCTTTCTTCATTCAAGGAAATTTTTTCTTTTGTTTTTGTTTTTGTCCTTTTTTTTTGTTTTTTCTTCTTCTCTCTTGGCTTTCGTTTTTATTTGGTCCTCATTCACTTGTGAGGGTGATAGAGGAGACAAAATAATTTTCTTGCCTAGGTGATGGAAACTTATCTTATTAGTAAGGCCATCATGAATGGTTTTCTTGTCAAATTACCAAGGCCTCCCAAGTAAAATATGACTAGCATCCAATGGCACTATGTCACACAAAACTTCATCTTTATACTTTCCAATGGATATAGGTATATTTACTTGTTGGTTGACTACAATACCTCCTTCCTCATTGATCCATTGTAACTTGTAAGGTTTAGGATGAGATAGAGTAGTCAAGGCTAGCTTGTTAATCAATCTAGTACTACAACAATTACAACTAGATCCACTATCCACAATGAGAGAATAAGTGTTATCTAAAACCTTGCATCTTGTGTGAAACAAGTTCTCTCTTTGGGATTGATCTAAGTCACTAGATTGGTTCCCAAGGAGTCTTCTTACCATTAATAAGTCTCCTTCACATGGGTAAGTTTCTTCCTCAGAGTCTAAAACTTCTTCTTCATCACTTGAGGATGAAGAAATAGCTTCATCAAGGCTGCTATAGTGATCTTGGCCCCTTAAAATCATGGTTTTCTTGGTGGGGCATTGTGAAGCAATGTGCCCACGACCAAGACACTTGAAACACTTGATGTCACTTGTTTTAGTGTCTTTGGAAGATATGCCTTAAGAGAAGGTCTTTCTTTTTCTTTTTCTTTGTCTTTTACATTAGGAAAAGGTTTCGAAGAGGGCCCTCCTTCTTAAAATTCTTGGAATAAGAGAGAGTGGAGTCTTTTCTAAAAGATTTTCTCTTAAGTTGATGTTCCACTCTAGAACAAAGTTGAACAAGCTCATTCAAATCTCTATATGGTAAGAGTTCAACTTTGTCTCTTATTTCAAGGTTAAGACCACTTTGAAACCTTGAGATGGTGGTCCTCTCTTCTTCCCTTATCCAACCCTCATCATGAGTAACTCCATAGATTGGCTATATTCTTCCACACTAGATGACCCTTGTTTCAATCTTTGTAGCTTATCCATAAGCTCATAGTCATAGTATGGAGGAATATGCCTCCTCCTTAAGGCACTATGGAGCTCATTCCAATATTGAATTGGGGGCTCATGGTTTATTCTCCTTTCTTTTTCTAAGGAGGTCCACCAATACATGGCATGCCCTTGGAAGCTAAGGGTTGCCAAAGAAACCTTCCTTTCTTCACTCACTCCATGGCAAGAGAAAAGTTGTTCAACTTTCATTTCCCAATCTAAATAGGTTTCAACATTATCTTTGCCATGGAATGGGGGAAGAGTAATGTTAGGTTCCCTATTGGAAGACTCCCTATGTCTTGGTTGTCTTGGGGGTCTTTGATAGTAATCATCATTGTGATGACTACTATAGAAGTTATTACTTGGGAGTTGGGTATGATGTCCTTCCTCCTCATGAACACTTGAAGGTATTCTAACCTCCTTTCCCTATGAGAACTTAGGGGAGGAGACTCTTGGTCTAGATCCACTAGGTTCCCCCCCCCCCACAACTAGCCTAGCAAGAAACCTTCTTATTTCCTCATTATTTTTCTCATTTTCTTTTTCTCTTATTCTTAACTCTTCCTCTCTTTTTATGTTTTCTTCTTCTTTTTTTCTCAAATATTCCTTTAGCTCTTTAAGCTCATCCCTAAGACTAGGCCTACTACTATATGAATTATGACCATGTACATTAGAATGATCACTCATCTTTGATCAAGAAAAGGTTTTCACAAATTGAGTTCAAAATATTGGCACAAAAAGGTTTTCACAAAGAGTGAGTGATAAGAGGTTTTCACAAAAGGTTTTCCAAGGTACAAGATTAGTATGAAAAGGCCTAAGTGTACAAATTGAACTATAAAGGGAGGTGGACTACTAAGAATCACTTAAAAACCAACCCTTTTCAAGTAAAAATCACTAAGCCCTTTCACACTTTTCTTACAAAACAATTTTGCACAAGAATTAAGTGTGTGTTTGTGCACAACCCCCCTAGTAGGCAAATTGTAGCCTTCTAAACGAAACAAATAAGAACAAAGACCCTAAACAATTATACTATAAAAGCTATAAAACATGCAAAGGAAAGAAACTTAAAACATATGCTAGTCGGATTCCCTAGGGTGGGAGCTTGAAGTGACCTTGGTGGTATTCAAGTCACTCCCACAAGCACTACTCGAGTTACCCTACAACTAATCAGGTTTAAAAATGGCCAATTACAACCCAAAAAATAATGAAAATCAAGGCTCAAAATACAAGAGGCCAAAAATTAAGCAAGAAAGAACAAGTAAGAAAGAAAGAACTTTTTGCTTCTTTCTTTGTCTTTCTTTTCCATCTTCTTATCTCCATTTTGAGTACATTTTGTGTGACTGTGATTTCTTATGGTTTTGTAATCTAACTTTATATTTCTTTTCCATGTAACAACTATGAATTTTGTTATCTTTTATTTTTGCTTCTTTAGTTTGTAAATGTTTCAACTACGAATCTATTTACACCATCTATTGTCACCTTCATTCTATTTTTATACACTATTTTAAAAATATTTTTTATCGTTTTAAGCTTCATCTTTGTTAAGATAAATTGGTCTACAAAAAAATTGTAACCCGATTATACCCACCCGCTTAAATCCGAATCCGTTTCAACCCGAACCGCCTCAAATCGAAAGCTCAGTCGGTCGGATATGGGTCACATTTTTTCAAAGCCGGTTTACAACGGGTTGGACATTTTTCACCCGAACCCGACCAAACCCACCCGTTGCTCACCCCTACATGCATGCATGATATTCTTCAATGTATCAACACGCCAAGCACGTGTTGGTCCACGCACAATTGCAAATCGAGATTGCAATACTCCAAATGCTCGCTCTACATCTTTTCTTGCCGATTCTTGTTGTTTGACAAATAATTTCATCTTTTCTCCTTGTGGCATAGGGATAGTCTTCAGAAATGTAGCCCACTCTGGATAAATACCATCAGCAAGATAATAACCCATATTATATTGGGTTCTATTCACTATGTATTGTACAGCAGGAGCTTGTCCTAACAAAAAGGCATTAAACACATTCGAAGCATTCAACATATTAATGTCATTATTTGAACCTATCGTGCCAAAAAAAGCATGCCAAATCCACAAGTCTTGTGAAGCTACAGCTTCAAGCATAATTGTGGGTTTGCTGTGATCACCTTGACAAAAATTTCCTTTCCAAGCAACTGGACAATTTTTCCATTCCCAATGCATACAATCAATAGACCCTAACATACCTGGAAAGCTACGTGCATTCCCCATTTGAAGTAGTCGTTCAACATCTTCATTGTTAGGCCTCCTAAGGTATTCAGCTCTGAATATGTTGCACACACCGGATACAAATCTCTCTAAGCATTCCACAGCAGTGCTTTCACCAATTCGAATGTAATCATCTGTACTATCAGCACTTGATCCATATGCTAATATACGAATTGCAGTTGTGCATTTTTGTAATGGTGAAAGACCCTTCTTTCGAGTTGCATCAACCCTCATCTGGAAATAATCATCATAATGACAACAACAATCTGACAACACTACTCGTCGAAGGAAAAAAAGATTGATGATTGATCGATGTCGTGAAGAAGGGCACAATCGATTGTTCAATGATTACTTCTCTGAGAATTCATGTTTCACGCCTCTATGCTCACTCATCGTTCTTTTGAGTCCTCATGCTCACTCTATCAATCTTTTGAGCCCCCGCACCCATGTTGTTTAATGTTTTGAGCCTTCATGCTCACTCTTTTAATGTTTTGAGTCCCCGCGCTCATGTCTTTTAATGTTTCGAGCTCTCGCACTCATGTTTTTTTAATGTTTCGTGTCCCTCGCGCTCATGTTTCTTAATGTTTCAAGCTCAGGGACGAAATTGGTGTTTTCTTTACTTATATTTTACTACGATAATATGGAAACAAGAGTTGTTTATATTATCTAGTAAAATTAAGTAAAGAGGGGCAACTGTAGTAACCCAATTTCGTCCGGGAAATGTCAATTTTGTTAAAAAAAATAGCAAAAAAGGTATATACAAGAAAGAATAAAAAAGACAAAAATATAGAAGCCAATTGTAACGCCTCATTTTTTTATATTTTTATGGGGGGGTAATTTAGTAATTTTCATATGATTTCAGAAGTCCAGAACGGGTCGTTCCAAAACTGGAACGGGCCGTTCCAACCTTTCAAAAAGACATAAAATTTCAAGCCCAGAACGGGCCGTTCCAAAACTGGAAGGGGCCGTTCCAACATTCCAAAAAGCCCTAAAATTTCTAGCCCAGAACGGCCGTTCCAAAATAGGAACGGGCCGTTTCAACTTTCCAAAAAACCTTAAAATATCTAACCCAGAACGGGCCGTTCCAAAACTAGAATGGGTCGTTCCAACCTTACAAAAAGCCCTGAAATTTCTAGTCCGGAACGGGCTGTTCCAAAATTGGAACGGGTCGTTCCAACCATCCAAAAAGACTTATATTTCGACGAAGATTTCGAATGCAAAGGCATGTGTCCCTTAGAATTGTAGAAGCCCTTGGTCATTATGATGATTATTTCCAGATGAGGGTTGATGCAACTCGAAAGAAGGGTCTTTCACCATTACAAAAATGCACAACTGCAATTCATATATTAGCATATGGATCAAGTGCTGATAGTACAGATGATTACATTCGAATTGGTGAAAGCACTGCTGTGGAATGCTTAGAGAGATTTGTATCCGGTGTGTGCAACATATTCAGAGCTGAATACCTTAGGAGGCCTAACAATGAAGATGTTGAACGACTACTTCAAATGGGGAATGCACGTAGCTTTCCAGGTATGTTAGGGTCTATTGATTGTATGCATTGGGAATGGAAAAATTGTCCAGTTGCTTGGAAAGGAAATTTTTGTCAAGGTGATCACAGCAAACCCACAATTATGCTTGAAGCTGTAGCTTCACAAGACTTGTGGATTTGGCATGCTTTTTTTGGCACGATAGGTTCAAATAATGACATTAATATGTTGAATGCTTCGAATGTGTTTAATGACGTTTTGTTAGGACAAGCTCCTGCTGTACAATACATAGTGAATAGAACCCAATATAATATGGGTTATTATCTTGCTGATGGTATTTATCCAGAGTGGGCTACATTTCTGAAGACTATCCCTATGCCACAAGGAGAAAAGATGAAATTATTTGTCAAACAACAAGAATCGGCAAGAAAAGATGTAGAGCGAGCATTTGGAGTATTGCAATCTCGATTTGCAATTGTGCGTGGACCAACACGTGCTTGGCGTGTTGATACATTGAAGAATATCATGCATGCATGTAGGGGTGAGCAACGGGTGGGTTTGGTCGGGTTCGGGTGAAAAATGTCCAACCCGTTGTAAACCGGCTTTGAAAAAATGTGACCCATATCCGACCGACTGAGCTTTCGATTTGAGGCGGTTCGGGTTGAAACGGATTCGGATTTAAGCGGGTGGGTATAATCGGGTTACAATTTTTTTGTAGACCAATTTATCTTAACAAAGATGAAGCTTAAAACGATAAAAAATATTTTTAAAATAGTGTATAAAAATAGAATGAAGGTGACAATAGATGGTGTAAATAGATTCGTAGTTGAAACATTTACAAACTAAAGAAGCAAAAATAAAAGATAACAAAATTCATAGTTGTTACATGGAAAAGAAATATAAAGTTAGATTACAAAACCATAAGAAATCACAGTCACACAAAATGTACTCAAAATGGAGATAAGAAGATGGAAAAGAAAGACAAAGAAAGAAGCAAAAAGATAACTCTAAAAATGGACTAGTGTGTTGAGAAGTTGAATGAGGAAGGAGAAGACAAAATAAATATCTAAGTTATGAGAAAAAGGAAAAAAATAAGTTACAAATTGATGGCTATATTATACTT